AGCGACACGTTTTAAAATAGATTGAGGGGCCAAATAAAAACTGCCAAGCGCTTTAAGCTCCTTGGGGCCGAGTCGGCCGGTAGATTTACGTGAAATGGCTCTGGAAAATCGATAGCGCTGCACGGGAGGGAAAAGGGACGGAGGCCGCCCCTTCCCTCCTCTGGACCCCAGTCTTCGCTGGGGAGCTCCCCGGAATCACGAGGCTCGGGGCCCCACCTCGACCTTCGCCATCCGCGCCCGGATTATCTCAGCGAGGGAGCTTTGGGGAACCCCTCTGGGTTGGCCAGGGTGGTCCTCGCTAGGCATGTTTATTCCGTCCTTCCCCCCTCCCCCCCTTCCTCGTCTTTCCTGCCGGCCCTCCATCTTGGGGTCTGCCGAGATCAGGCTGGGAATGACGATTTTAAGGAGAGGAGGAGGGCGAGGGACGGGCCGAAGCGTTTGCTGCGGCTCCGATCAGCCCAGCTCCCGTCACGTTAAATGAGGAGGGGTTGAAATGCTGGACGAAACCGGGGAGACACGAGGCGAGGCCCCGCTCGGCCTGGGCGGCCAGTCATTCTCTCCCCCAACCCACCTCGCAGGGTTGTTGTGCGGGCGTTAGAGGCCCCTTCTTGAGGGAAAGGCCCTTGGCTTCGCGCCTGCCCGGCAGCGTCCGTCTCGGGGGTTTCGCGGCGTCTGCCAGGGAGGCGTCTTCTCAAAGGGGGCCAGGCTGCCCTCCTTTCGAAAAATAAAGGCAGGCTGACAGCCTCGTCCACACCGGCCCTCCAGCTGTCTCGAGCCGGCGCGCGTGTGAGGGTGTGTGTGTGCGCGCGTGTGAGAGGGGGGGAGAGAGAGAGAGAGTCCATGTTGGAGTGCGTGCCACATGGGCGAATCTCCCGCTCGGCTTATTGATTGGGCCTGCATTGATCTGCTGGAAGGGGCCAGGGGATGGGGGGTGAAAATCAATAACCACGCTGCAATATGTTTCTGCCTCTCTGGGATGCATGCGCTCGCACGGCTGTGCCATGTTGGAGCTGTTTTAATTTGCCAGGAGGACAGAGTGAGTGTGTAACGGGTGGGTGCGTATGAGCGTGGGCCACATCAGATTGTGGTGCTGGTCTCTCTCTTTTTTTTTTGGAAACAAGTGCCGTCCGAGCATCAGGCTGGCCTCGTTCGTAAGGGCACGCAGGGGAAGACCGCTCTCGGCTGTGCCCGGCCTGGCAGCCTCACACTGTGGCTGGAGTACCCGCAGCCGGGGCGCCATCTCCTGGACTGGCATCGCGGAGGCTTCTTGAGAGGTGAGTCCCCGGACCCCTGCTCCTTTCCCCTGGCACCAGCTGGTGCCACCACCCCACAGGCCCGGCACTCCGGGCCAGCCTGGGCACAGCCAGGAGAGGGCACCCTTCCGGGTGCGAGGTGGAAGGATTCCCAAGCCCAGGGCCCCAACTTGGCAGGCTCACGGATCCAACTGGCCGACAACGCACAGCCGTGTTGGGAAGACGCTGGGGGGTGAGCCCGGCCCCTCTGCTTCAAAGAGGTCCCCGCCTTGCAGAAATCCAGCCGCAGATGATTTCCTAGGCGGGGGGCAGGAGAGCTCCCCGCAAAATTTCGGCAAACCTAGAGATGGCTGTCACGCAATCTCGAGGCGGCGTGTTATTTCTCCGTGTTGTGGCGTATTTTCCCCTCTTTTCTCCCCCCCACCACCTTCATGCTCGGGCACGATAAAGCCCCTTCCCGCCTGTGGGCATTGCCCGCTGTGGGGAATTGTCAGTTTCAGCATCTGGGCCAGAAGCTGCTGGTTTTGCAGAGACAAAGAAAGGCTTGTTCTGTTCCATCCGTGACATCCAGTCCGTGGGGAGGAGATTCCCTTTTTGCGCGGTTTCAGGAGAGGCGTTTCGTCTTCCCTGGCAGGAGCAAACCTCCTTCCAAAAGTGGGCCCGGGGCAGGCCAGGAAGCCAATCTGCCGGCCTTTGGGTCTGCCCGCCCCGGGCCCCCTCCCACTCCCCGCCAGGCTGCGAGGGAGCATGCTGGAAGCTATAGTTCCTAACATCTGGGCGGGCCCCAGCTCCAAACACCTTCCTCTGACTCTCCAGGCCCCGCGCGGTGGCATAGCCGCCGACTGGTCGGCTCAGCCTGCCCCGTCTTCTCAAGGGGCGCCCTATCAAGATACTGACGGGCAAAAAGGGGGCAAGCTTTCCAGGCGCACAGGGCGCCTGCCACGAAGCGAAGCGTGCTGTGAAACCCGCAAAGGGATGTCTTGGCAACCAAGCGTCCTCGGGCAGAAGCAAATCCCCCAAAGTTGCTCGCTCTCCATCTTCGGCTTGCGGTCAAGGAGGGGGTGGGGCAGGGGGAGAAATGCCAGTGTTTAACCTGTTTTAAGCAGTGGGGGCTGGAATGCCTCCCCCCCGCGCATCCTGGTTTCCTGCCCCTGCTGAGCTGCGCCATGCGCCGAGCCTCCAGGAGGGGCTCTCAAAAGATCAGAGGCGTCTTCTCCTGTAGCCCCCGGCCCTCCGCCTTCCCCGCGCGCACACCTCCGTTGCCAACACCCCATCATCTGCAACCCGAGGTTTCCATGGTTACGCCTGATGTATTGGGCTATTGATCAGCGCAGCCGAAGCCGGCTGTCCACGCAGAGTTGTGCCGCAATTCCTCCTCTCTAACCATAGGCCGAAATCAATATCAGACACTGTTTATTCCGGATGAGTATTCTTTGACTTCTCCTCTTTTAGTGCAGCTTATTTCTCCCCCCCCGCCTGCCCCCCTCCCGTGCTCCTGGCGGCAGGGCTTTGCATGGGTTGCGTTATGGAGGGTCATCGCAGGAGCAAGCAAGAGGGCCGGGCAGCAAACGCATTTTTGCTGCTCCATTTCCCAACCAAAGTCAGCGGGAGACGTCGAGTCTCGTGCCGGGAGACGTTTCCAAGTTCCTAGTCCCTATGAGTGCGGACATGCCAAGGAAAAGGTGGCAGAGTTGCCTGCCACTGGTGGGGAGGGCAGAACATTATTTTCAGTGGCCCCTTCAGCAAAAAGCTAGCGGCAGAAGGGTCTTTTTAGGGTCAAGGGAAGGGAAGGGAAGGCAAGGGAAGGGAAGGGAAGGGAAGGGAAGGGAAGATGGAAAAAGAGAAAACCACGCAAGCTTGCAGACCACTGAAGTGGGGGGAAATCTCCAGTGCTTTTGCTGTGCTCGCCACCTTACAAAAAGTGGGGGGTCTCTCTCTTGGGTTTGCATGGGGAGCGAGCTGGGTTTCTCCCCGGCCCCGGGGTTGCCCACCCATCCTTTCCGGAGACCCCAGGCAGACCTTCTGTTTTGCCATTCCTAAGGCCGTTCCTCCGAAGGAGGCCTTTTCTGGGGAGTCGGAAGCATCTTTCTAACAAGATTTAGGGCGGGAAGGAGGTGTCTTGCAAGGAAGTCTAGGGCTGGAAGAAAAGGGGCGCCGGGGCTCCCCAAACTTTCCTGGCTGCAGATGCGCCGTCTGTGTCTCTCTGGCCTCCCTCCAAGCAGTGGCTGGATTTAATTAGCCCCCTCGGCCAGCCCCTTAAGCCTGGATGGGGACCACTGATCTTTAACCCCTTGGAGGTCACGGTGCGGATTGATCAGGCGCCTTAAAGGCACAGGACCCGGTCGCCGGTTCGCTTTTTTGCAGAAAAATACCCCACACAAGACACAGACCTTCGGGCCCCAGGAAGACCTCTTTGACCGCAGATGTTATGGTCCAGCGTAATGGGGAAGGGAGCCATTGGCGACCTGCAGATCTTCAGTCCCGCTCGGTAGAGTCTGGATTGGGAAAGCTTGGGGAAAGTTAAAATGAAA